CATTTCACAAAAAAAAAAAATAATAATAATAATAAAAAAAAAATGAATGATTCTGATTAAAATAGGAAATGTTTGTACGGTTAACAAAGTGAAAATGTTGAGGAAAACAACAAGAAAATAATGAACTAATGCATTTAGATGGGATGATGTGAATAGTCATCAATCGACTCATCGTTGTCAAGTTTTAGTGAAGTTTGAAGTGTTAAAAAGCTTCACGTCTTTGAATTAGTACAAGCATAAATAGTAGTAGCAATTTTAATAGCTTGACCAAAGAAATACTTATATATGTGCTTCTTTTAATCAATAAACTATATTCCTCTAATATGAGCAATGTAGCTTGACTATAGGACATATAATCTATAAATCTTTTCTAATCATTCTTATTTAAATTTCCATATTTGTTTAAAGAAGTAATAATCCATATACCCTTTCAACTTTTATAGTTTAATAATTCAAAGTGTTCACCATCAAACATTTGTAAGCCTTGTTTGGTGGGAACAAAATTCCGCACTTCGAGGATCTTCTTCTTCTTCTCCATAATATCTCTATTTATCACCAAAAAAATAAAAAATTACACAATAAAAATGACATCTTTATCTGCAAAATCCATTCTTTCTCCCTTCTTCACAAACCCAGAAAAAATCCCCAACACCAAATCAAACCCTTTTCACCTAAACCTCAAAAAACACATCTCCCACAAAAACCCACAAAAAATTTCAAGCATTTTCTTCAGTCCCACATCGAAAAGCCCGAGCCCGAAAGCCCCCCCACTTTCTTGCCTCACAATAAACCAACCCTTCACGGCACAGCCCTCGAGCGTCTCGCAAAAGGTCCAAAGTTTGGATTTTGAGTTCAAATCCCTCACTAAACCCGTCGATAAGGTCAAGAGATTGCTGCACTACGCCGCGATTTTGCCCCCATTTGACGAGTCTTCAAGAACCCTAGAAAATCGGGTTTCGGGCTGTACGGCCCGGGTCTGGCTCGAGGCGAAGATGGACGAAAGTGGGGCCATGAGGTTCCGCTTGGACAGTGACTCGGAGATTACTAAAGGGTTCTGTTCTTGTTTGATATGGGCCCTCGATGGGGCCCGGCCCGAGGACGTGCTGAGCGTGAAAACAGAGGATCTGTTGGAGATGAACGTCGGGCTGGCGGGTCGGGTCAGGTCGAGGGTCAACCCGTGGCAAAATGTGTTGTTTGGTATGCAGAGAAGGACCCGATATTTGGTTGAGGAGGAGGAG